ATCGAGTGAATGGAAATGGAACTGCAACATCTCTGCTTTAGTTTTCTGGAGGAATCGAGACTGGTGGTAATTTTTTGGCGGAATTATTCCCTTCGGGCGACGGACGCTTCTAAAATAGGTTTCCGCCGGCCTTGTCTTTCTTTTAGCAGTTGAACACCAACATAGCGCTAACTCGCCGAAAACGCTTCAAAATGGCCTGAGACGCTAGGAATCAACAAAGAAAACAACAAGGCAATAAGGTAAGCCCATTTTATTTCAAAACAAGACATTTTTTTCTCTCTTTTAAGGCAAACCGATAACATCCCATACAAACCTTTATAAATATAAAACGTTGCGCAACACGGTAAGAGTCACGTCCGCTTTTATAGTACTGAGCTTGGGCTGCCTGTGTCGGGACAAGTAGTGCCCTATTCTTAAGACCTGCTATATTTCATGTCGGTGAATCATCTTTTACTGATCTTACTCGCTAAGAGCACTAAAAGGATTAAGGACTACTTCATTTATTTGAATTTTACCTGCAGGAGATTGGCTTGGCATCTTTAGGGGCCCCAGATGAGTGGATCGAAAAACTGGCCACGGTAAGGAATGCAGGGGCTTTATTTACGGTTCTCATTTTTTGGCAACATATGTATTTTTCTGGCATACTCATGACGTCATGACGGATTGCCCACATGTTTGGAGGATACTTGAAAGAATGGCTTGTGTTGTTTGACATGATCTTTACACAGAAAAAATGGTTTTCTAATTTTTTCATCATGAGTGGTTTTAAACGGCTCTTAAAATACTGGAACGATGCGCATCTCTGTCACTGTTACGTACTTTCAGGAAACGTAAGATTATGAAGGTGCCAAAAGAGATAAATAACTTATATGTTCGGGAAAAGTGAGTGAGATCAATTAACAATTCCAGATTATAATTGTCTCTATCTCAGTTTGTGTCTTCTTCTTGAATGAACACTGGTTAATTATACCTCTTTTAAACTCTTTACTGTGGCCAGTTAACATTATAAACTTAGTTGATAAAACCGAAATATCCTGTTATACTCCCCCACCAACGCAGCACCACGGTTTTCTTAAAAACTTACCGCGTTTAATTATACCTTTTTTGACCTGATAGGTGTCAAAACATCGTTGCGTTGGATTGCTGGGTGACACGATAACCTGTTTATCTTGTTCTTTGCTTGCAGCTCTACTGGTTCACAATTGAGTTTGGACTCTGTAAACAAGACGGAGAAGTCAAGGCTTATGGAGCCGGGCTGCTATCTTCCTTTGGAGAACTTCAGGTAAGCCCTCCGTTTGGTTCTACAACAGCCATCTACGAACACTTCACTGAGCATCTGCAAACAATGATTGTGAAGCGTTGGAGACGTTTGAAAAAAGGTGCATCTGCGTCTTCTCTTGTGCGCCCCCTGTTGTCTTGTTATTCGGTCTGTGGGATTGTCCACCTAGTCACTGACTGGATTACTTTCCCAAATTAAGAGTTTTTTTCCCATCTATTCATCCATTTTTCTGAAAATCTACCTGCCTTTCTGTAAGTTTGTCCAATTTTCTGTGGATGTATGTTTTCGCTTTCTTGCAAAGAAACTACTTTGTTGATCGCGACTGATGATCATATAAACGGGAGTCCTATGTAGTCACTAGACTGGACTGTTATGACAGCATACAAGAGAAGTTCAAGCGCAGAGACTAAAACTTTCGTGATTGCATTGGTTTGTTTTGCTGCACTTCGCGATTGGTCTAGAAATCTGGCGTCACCTTTTCAACCAATGAGATGCAGTCTTAGCTAGTTTACTCGCATTTTCCCGTGCGTGGAGCCAGCTTCCGTCTGTCTCCTCAGGGCCCTCTTTGGGTGGTTTTTTATATTTGTCTATTTTCTGATTGGTCACTGCGATAAATTTGGTTTTGCTCTAAAGATGCCCAATCCAAAAGGGCACTAAGCGTTATTTCAAAGGAGAGCCCTTTCGAATTTCATCATTCAAGATAGCTAGTTTCTTGTAAAGGATGGTTCATTTAGTATGTCATGTGATGGTTTGGTGTTCTATGGGCTATATGAGATCTCGCGACTAATATCAAGATATTTGAGTGGATTCACCTTTCAACGGGGAAAGTCTGTTGAGGGAAAGGCTATTGGGTAGTATATTGTTTATCTTTACCCGAGGATTTTCACCCAAGTTAGAAATCAAGAACCAGACTTGAGCCGAAACAAGAGAGCTTCCTCCCTGTTTCTTTTGTTATAAAATTGATTTGAAATTAGAAATGCGTTGGTTTTTTTTCTCTTTCAATTCCAGTATTGTCTGACAGATGAACCAGAGAAGAGGCCGTTTGAGCCTGAGAAGATTGCGGTACAGAGCTATCCCATAACCAAATATCAACCGGTGTACTTTGTCGCTGACAGTTTCCAAAGTGCAAAGGAAAAAGTCAGGTAGGATGTATAGTTCTATCCTTATCTTTCGGACATTTTGGCACCCTTTGTGCTCATTTACCCAACCTACTCCTTCGAATCCCATTTCACCTCAAGGTGTCCTTTTTCAAGTCGGTACGAACCATGGAAAATAAGCTTGAAAATGTAAGGAAAAGACAGTGGATTGCTTGGAAATAGTTGTTGCTGCCTGACTTCGGGTTCTGCTTGTTTCATTATCTGGAATCTAACTATTAGTAGCATCAGTTCATCTCGACCAAAAATTAGACTTTCTTTAAGTTGTTTTTCTCGTTGCTATGTTCCCACCAATAACGTAGCTCCATTCTCTGCCTTTAAAAGCACACACAACCCACAATTCCTCTATTCGCTCCGACGAAGGGCTAACGCTCGAAACGTCAGCTTTTGTAATCGTTACGGTGGCCAATTTACCACCTCAACTTTGTTGATATATCCAAATTATTTCGTTACTCCCACCGACGCAGCCCCAAACAGTTTCTTTTGAAACTATCAGCCTTTATTTCTTTAAGTTACTTGAGTTCAAAGAGCGTCATGTAGGTAGTTTGGATCACGCAACTGTTCTTCTTTCTTTTAATGTAATAATTTTTAAAGTTAACTGTAGGAAAAACGTAACGCTAATGTGTTTTTAGGATGAAGAGATAAATTTGTATTTTGAAGCATGTTTAACATGGTCGTGGTCATGACATTCATACCATGTTGAATAAAAAAAAAGTGTGAATTTCTGAGCAGCTGCGCACCTACCCCTCCTGTAACTCAACGTTTAACCTAACTTGTTATCTGATGACTATTGTTGGGTCGGAGGGGGTGGATGCGCTGTTGCTCAGATATTAGGGAATTTAAGCAAACCACAACGGCGACGGCAACGAGAACGTGGAAAAACAATAGATCTAGTTGGCAGAACAATAGCCCAGAATGTGCGTTTTAAAACTTTGTACATTTCTTAGCCGTCCTTTGCAAAACAACGACGTGAAATCCCCAAAATTTGCGTCGTCTGCGAACCGCAACCGCGGCGGCAAATTATTTTAATTTACATTTGGAACTCAACGCTACTTTTATGCGTTATGTTGAGTTTGAGGTCTGGCGTCCTATGAGACGGTAAACACGTGCAGCCATTTTCGAAATTCTAACTAAAAATAGAAACTCATTTTTTAATCGACGTCTTCCGTGGCGTTCCCGTCGTGACTGCTTAAGTTCCCTACTAGGGACTTTAACCAGTCATGACGACAACGGTAAAGAAAACATCGATTAAAAAATTAATTTAAATCGATGGTGAGAATTTCGCGAATGGCTGGATGTGTTTATTGTCTCTTACGGTGCCACACCTCAAGCTCAGCATCACGTATGTGAGCACCGTCTAGTTCCAATTTAAACTTAAATAATTGAGCGTAGGGGTTTCCGTTCTCGGGCAACGTAAATTTTGGTGATTTCACGTTGTTTTTTGGCCGAGGATGGCCAAGAAATGTACAAAGTTTTAAAGTGCACATGCGGAGCCGTTACTCTGCAAAGTAGATTTCTTGTTTTGCCACGTTCTCATTTCGATTGTGTCGTGGTTTGCTTAAGGTCCCAACTGACACTCATTCGCCATGTTCGCAGGGAATTTGCGGCCAAAATCCCCAGGCCCTTCTCAGTCCGTTACAACCCATACACACAGTCCGTGGAAGTATTGGACTCAAAGGACCAGATAATGAAACTGGCCAATGACATAAAAGGGGACGTCGCCACTCTGCAGGAAGCTCTCGGCAAATACGAATAAACAAAAGACTTGTAACTAAGAATTCTGAGGCAAACAGTGCACATTTTGATAGCTTTTAAGACTTTTTTGTCTCAAAGAAAATATTATTTGCGTTGACAAACTCAGTAGAAAGGGAACGCTTGTGTGGAATAATGTAAATGTAGCTTGGAAATGTGTTCTTCTAAAAGGTCACTTTGGTTAGTATTGTTCGATGTAAAATTATCGTTGTTACCTATTTTAGATTGCATATACTATTTAAAGAGTACCAGATCTTCAACAGTTAAATCTATTTTTAAACAGTACTAGAATTAGGCATGCAGATATATTTATGGTCAACACACAATAAAATTTGCCCTGCACTTTTCAGACTTTACTACCTTGTGTTTCGTTTGTTTGTTTGCTTGTTTGTCCCTTTTTTCGTGTGGCCTATTTCCGTTCGTAGTCGATTCTCAACAACCAAAGGTGGCTTTCTGAACTCTGTTTCAAATCCTTTTGCATGAGATGTCAATCCCTTGAAAGTTTACGCTCCACATTTGTTGAGAAGTTTCAATTACAATATTCTGTTTCAAAATCGTGAGGGCAGTGAGAGGCACAAGTGAGTAATATCTTGTTGGGGTGCGAGATGATATAAGCCTTTTCCAATTGACCCTGATTTCAACGGGAACCTGGAATGCTATAAAATAATTCCGGTACTGCTATAGTTATCTTTTGCTATGTGATTGGTACCGAAAACTCGCGCCAGTCCCTTTCAACAAGTCACATGGAACACAGATACCAATTGCAACTTGTTCTTTCACTTTTTCCAACGCTTCAGGTTGGTTAATAGTTTTTGCTTCGAGTTTTCGTTAGTTCCTTATGATATTGTCCTTCCTTATGATTGGCAGATGGGATTACTATGGTTACTCATCGTTCAGCGCTTCATCAGGGGTCTAGAAAGTTAAATGTTCCTGAGCAGTCGTGTCAGATTAGGGAAAATGATCAGCGTTCAAGTTTGCTAATTACCGGTATCTCAGATTGCGATCCTAAACCGAGATGAAAGGGTCTCGGTGAACTAAAATTACTAAGCCTCTCCCCAAGCTGACGGATTTGTATTCCTCACATCCCGCATCAGACTGAATCAGACTGCGTTGGAAACGAGCACGCGCAAAGATTGCGCAAGGGATGAGTTCAGGTGGCTGAACACAGTTTTCGCGCGCGCTTTTGCTGATGCAATTCAGGGCGCGCACAAGGATTGCAAAAAACAAACATGCTGTCAATAGAGTGATCATTTTATTTCACGTATCCGCACCATCTGTGCTATTTTTCTCTATAGTTGGAGCAGTGTATTAAGGGCTTTAATCTTTTATTACAAAGACGTGTAAGAAAAGTTAACGGTGCAAAGGACCCAGCAATTCTCAGCTTTTTCGTCGTTACCGAATGAACCTAGTTAAATGTAGCGCATGCGTAGTAAGTCAAAAAATTGCGATTGAATGGAAAATTGCTTCCTCGGAAATATCCCTATTTCTTGAGAACCACTTATTATAATTCCACGAAATTTGCCACGAAAATACTTTAGGAAATAAGTAACTGGAGTATTGAAAAAAATTTATTTTTAACGAAGGAAATTCTAGATAATCAAGTGAACCTGCAACAAGGGATAATTAAAGATCTCTCTGTTAAATTGTTAACAAAATGGTATTAACTTGTGAGTATCGTTACAAGCTCGTTGCATGCAAATCATAAAGAAAATCTCAGACTAGATTTTCTACAAATACAGAAAACCAATTTTAAAGGCCTGTTTATATTTAGTCACGTCGCCATGGCAACGGCACATACGTCAGCTTAACTATCGAAAAGACAAAGTTTGTGTTGCTAATTTGCTTGCTGCCAGTTTTGGCGACCGAGAGATCAAAGGTGTTAGAGAAAATGGTGAAAGAAACACAGGTATCAAAAACTGTGTTCAGCCACCTTAAAGAAGAGAATAGATATTTCATCTCGCCAGACCTCACTCTACCTTTCGCTTCTTAATCAACACATGGCACGGATCTTGCGAGCCTGAACGTCAGATGTTGACTAATTATCCCATAACTTTGAGAAAACGAATCGAAAGAAGTCGTTTACAGGCCGCTGATGAACCCTTTCCTAAAGGAGGAGAGGTACAAGTTGGTTAAGATCATCGAGATGAGCGAACAATTATTTTCTTTTAAATAGCATACCATCTTGACTTCGCGAACGAGACTTTGAGCGCGATGCTCGACGAGTTGGCTGGAGATTTACGTATCTGATCATCCAGTCGCACAAAGGTAAAAAAGGCCAGTCGAACTCGGCAGAAACCTCCCCACGCCTTTCTCAGTTGTCAACGGAGTGGAGCAGGGTTACATCCTCGCATCGACTTTCTTCACCATCTTCTTCCGTATGATGCTCAAGCTGGCCACTGTAGATCCAGATGACGAGGACGGATCGCGTTTACATCAACTACCGTCTCGATGGCAAACTGTTCGAACTAAGATTGCTACAGACCCGCACAAAGAGCTTGGAGCAATTGATCAGGGACCTCCTCTTTTCCGACAATACAGCTCTTGTCACCCATTTGGAGAGTGCATTGCAGCGCACACCCTTCCAGCTTCGCAAGGGCTCCCCAACTCTTCGACCTCTCCGAAAGAGGCGGAGGTCCTCCAACAGCCTGCACCCTAAAAACACTGCCCCCTCCTTACATCATTGTTTCCGAGACTGAGCTGCAAACAGTCCAGCAGTTCATTTACCTAGGGTGCATGATTTCATTACATGCCAAGATTGACAGGGAAATCGACAATGGACTGGGAAAGGCTAACTGTGCCTTTTGCAGACAAACGTGTGTAGAATAAGGGCACCAAGATCAACGCGTACATAGTTGTTCTTCTCACCACCTTCTTGTTCGACTCGTAGTCGGGGGTTACCTATCGTCACCATCTTCTTACCTTTCCTACCACCAGTTGGACTGATAGACTTCGTCACCAACGTTGAAGTCCTAGCTATAGACAGGCGGCGGTAACCAGCATCGAGGCTTTACTTCTCTAAGATGTAGTTACGCTGGGCGCAGCACGTCTCTAGGACGGGATACTATCGCTTCCCCAAGTTCGTCCTGTAAGGTAGACCATCGATATCCACTTGCTACAGTATTAGAGGGGTGGGGAGGCGGGAGAAGCCATTGAACAAAGGTTACAAAGTCTGTTAAAAGAAATCCATCGGTGCCTGTCAAATGGACGATTACTAGTGGTCCACCAAAGCTGTGGACCGCGAAGCCTGGTGTCACAACATCAACCATGCAGTCCCCTTCCTCGAAAACTCCTACAAGGCTTTCTTCGAGGATAAGTGGCGAAGGGGGCAGAATAGAGACGCTGCGACATCAAACCGTCTCTAGACCTTCGCCTGCAATTACTTCAGCCAGACCTGCTTGTCCTGTATCGGCCTTGGTAGCCATGAGCGTGCCTGCAGTCGACGTATCACGACCCTCATATAAATCTTCGTTCGCGAAGCAACGTCACACATGTACCACTCAACCGCCCGGAAATTCCTTAATGGTCGGTGAAAAGAATTTATGGTATCTTTAAGTCTGATTGAGAATTCGTTGTCTGAAAATGAGCGAAAAACTGACCGAAATTGGAAAACTTGTTACTTTTATATGGTGGTAACGATGAGTTTTCTCCGACACGTCTTTCTTTATAAAACAACGAGGATTATTGAGATTTCACGTTCAGTTCCTTGCTGCTCATCAGTGGACAAGTGATTTTAATCTCATTGAAATATACATCCCAGAAGTCTTCACGAAGGTAAAACAAAACTTACTTTACCAGAAACTCCTGTTTCCAACAGACACAGTTCCTTTTAGAAACAAGAATCAAATTCTGTTAAATTCCTGAGCGAAAAATATGGCAATGATTATGTTCTGGTTATAGATACAACGCAAGAAATAGGTCGTCAAAGAAAGTGAGGGAAACAGGGTCAATCCTCTCAGGTTGAGTTCTCTTCCCGTGATATTTTATTGGACATCTGCTTATCAACTTCAACACGTAAAAATTAATTAATACTCTGATATACGGCTGAATATTTGAAATAAAAAAATTTTATCTGACATTCTTAGCTGTTCAAGAAAACTGTTTGAAGTCTTCTAACACATGCAAGGAAAAAATATTCCGAGTTTTCCATATGCCGGCTTCACAAGAAGTTAAACATCAATGAAATTTATGAATTCAAACCATTATCGTTCTTCAGCAGCAATGACATTTGCCGCACTGACTACCATCAATATGCTACGAGGACCCTCAATATGTACGGTTGTTAATATTTCATTAAAATCAAATTAATTTGTCATATTTTGAACGCCTCAACAATAGACTTTTTGCCAGGTCTTCACCTTTATTGAATTCATTGGGCACATTAGGGGTGAAAGATGTATTCGAATTATCAAACTTGCATGTTTATTGAAAATTAAAAAGGAATATGTATTAGTGACTCAGAGTACTGAAAGGAAAAAATCAACCACTAAAAGATACGGAAATTTTCAATCTTTATCGCATCTTCTTATAATCTGTAGATTCTGGGTTTATAAAAATGTAAAAAGGAAAAAGAAATAGATTCGTTTGTCTTTTCAGCAGACTGAAAATTAAAATATATTCGCATGATGAGTATTTTACGAAAAAGGAAAACTCTTGAAAATCAAGCAGGTCTCCCTCCTGTTCCGAACGCCCACACAAAACCCACAATACTTTGCAAGCGCACAGCACATTTCAGTTTGACTTTGTCAACAACTTTAGAGCGCAAGTTTGCATAGTATTTACCTGAGGTTTTTCCACTATTGCGGGTTAAAATGGCGAAATAGTTTCGCATTCGCCATGCTGACCTCTAGTGGTCTCTAAGACCGGCTAATGTAAAATGGCCGCCGCTGGTGACCGCGGGAAGCGAGACACTAAGAGCTTGCTAAACAGATCTGGAGGAGATGAACGAAAGGCCGAAGAAAACAAGTTGCATCGACGTGCAGCCAAGTCCAGATCTTACAGGTTGGGTTTAACACTTTAATATCGTTTTTCGTAGTTATAAGTGATTAGAAAAGCTTGAATATATGACTCAGATGGTACAGGAAATCATTTGCCAGATTGTTTCGAGTTTGGTATTTTGCCTACACGCTGTGCTTTTCAGTCGTAGCGTTTTTGTTAAACTAAGCGGTCTGTATTTTTCACTTGATATTTTACGCGTAGATTTTCAGGCTTCGCATTAAATTTAACAACTCGCTAACGGGTGAATCAATATTTAATTTCGCATCTTTAAGTTATAAGTGCGAATACGAGCTTGCTGGGGTTAATTTTTTATTCAGAAATTTGTTCTCTGAGCTTTTAAATTTGTTTTGGAATTGAAAATGTCGAATGTAGTTGACCCCAACTCTGAGAGTTCCGCTTCTGCTATTGAATTTGATTTGTTTCCTTTTCCCGATATTTGACTACAGATTTTATTAATTTCTACAGTAAAAAGTTGTCGCGGATTTTGATGAATATTACTTACCGCAAGAAACTGGTGATAAAACGAGTTCTATGCATAAAAAATTGATATCGAACTGAATTCGCGTCACGATATGATTCATTTGTGCCCGAATGCATTTGAATTGTTTGCCCGTAATGCTTCCATTTGTAATTTCCTTCTTTTATGTTTTTGACTGCTTGCTATCAGTTAAAAAATAAACGCGATTCAAAGTGGGTTACAGATTTTTATCACTCATATCGGCAAATCTGTTGCTTAACTTACAGGAAAGGCTCTTAAATGAAAGTGTATTGTGCAAAGCTAAGCGTCAAATACTATGAGGATGCGTAAGCTATAAGACGAGATAGATTTTTCATATTCAACTTTTGTTTAGCAAACAAAGCGAGCAACTTGATCGACTTTGGTGTTTTCAAGGCGTAATTTAAACTTGGGAATGAATGAGTCTATAATTAAGGTGACCTTTTAATGCTAAACGCAAATCAAAACTTATTTTTGCTTCGCCTAATAGTTTTTTCAATTCTGATCATAAACTTATTTGCATGACTATCTATTCTGACGTGTTAGTTTCGAACTTTGAATGTATATTGCTATCCTTTATAGAAATTATGTTTTACAAAATAACTTATTTTTTAACTGACATGTTTCTATTTCTTATTTTCTATTTTTTTGTGCAATTGGGTCGTAACAAACTCTTTTCTAGATCCATGTAAATGTAGCATGTTTATACATGCATTGGTTGCATGAATATTACATTTTACAACTCTTAAGATTTCTAAGCGCTTAGTAAAGAATTTTAATTTTCTTTTTGACAGTTGCAAGTGTAGGAGGTGCATGTGTGTTCCCCTACCAAGTGTATAGGGCGTAAGGCATGGTTTGCTTTTGATGAGACAGATCAGTTTGCGGAGTATCACTACTGTGGCATATTGAGTGAAATGTATTTTGAGTGGTTGAACTTTTTATTTCATTGTTCCTGTAATCAGTGTTCCCTAGAAGCACTGGTGCCCATCATTTTTTCCAGCCACTTGTTTTTGAAGCGCCGGTTGTTGGATTAGACAAAACTGTGAAATACCTGTCATGATCTGAACTAATTTTAATCTTTGCCATTCAGCCAGTATTTTTTTTTTATGACTGGTGCCAAAAAAATATACAGTGAATAGGGTGTGTACTCAGAGAAACTGACTTAAATTTGAGACTAAACAAAGCAGCAGGTGACAACCCTTAAAAATGATTTTTGCTCGACATTTGGTTTAAATCAGAACTGTTTCATGATCAAAATCTGCATAAGTGTGATTTGAATGGCCATTTTTTTCATTGACACTCAAGTGGAACCTTTTTGCGTGTTCACTTAATTTGAGTTGTAATACTGAGTCCATAAGTAGACAGGCAGCGTGTCTGACCCTGACTCTAAGCCAGCATCTTTCATTTGTTTCCTCCAATGTCCTGACTTTTTCTCTTTTAATATGCAAACTTAGTCTTTAATTTCTTCTATATGCATAAGGTTAATGTATTGCATTACATGTTTTTATAGTGTAATAAAACTCAATATCTGTTTCCATTTACAATACCAGTATATTCAATCTACATGTACATTTTTATAAGAAATTTATATAATTTATTGTTCTAAAGTTTTATCAGAGAGTGAAAAGTTTTATTAACTTCATGTCCAATATTGTTTAAAGCAAGAAATATTTTTAATATAAATGGTATTCTTTAAAAGTGTTGCAAAGTAACTACAATATTGATAACCTTTCAAGTTGCATATCAGAGTTCTCTTCTTTTGCTTACAGAGAAGCAATGTCCAAACCAACAGGACGTGATACTATAGAATTTTTTCAGAATGATTTGGAGCCTGTATCAGAGGCCAGTACTAGCTCTGCACACCTTACAGACTTGGAGCATCACACTGATGTCTGTGAATGGACTGTAAGTGGTTAGATTTGGTTAAGTTTTAGGCATTTTAGTTCAATGCTGAGGAGTACAAAAGATGCTATTAAGCTTGGAGTAACACTTTTTTAAAGAGAGATATGAAGTTTTTGGTGATTGAATTAAATGAACTCATCAAATTTTTACTTGAAACTGGCTTTTTATCTCCATACAAGTAATCTGAATGTCAATGCAAGCTTAACTTGAGTCAGTTGTTTTGTTTGTGATTTTTTTTACATTTATTATGCAATTGTCTTAAGGAAAGTACCATAAATGGGAAGCACTTATGGATGGACACAGATGCCTCGGGAAACTCCTGTTACTTGACTGATTGTGAATCTCTGGTAGGAATTAAGCCTTTTATTTACTCAAACTTTTTAGTGTTGAATTAAATAATATGGGATTGGGCATGCTTTGCTTTCTTCCACTCTTAAATCAATTTAGAAAACTTCTTCCTTATATATTCTTTACTGATCAGGTGCAAAACTTAAATCAATTATCACTTGTTACAGTGTATGTGTGTTTTTGTGGGCCTTAGGCAGTTTAATGTTTTTCATTTTAATTGCAATCTCTAAGCTCATTGTAGGAGTTTAAATTTGCTTTTACTGAAAAAGCAGTTGTACTCACCACAACACTGACAAACTGCTGTGCCAAATTAATACTTGCCAAAAAATTGGGAGAGGGCCGGGAAACAAAGCAATCAGAGTATGATAATGAATTGAGCAAGAGCATATCACAATGCCTAGAATCTCCCTCCATACAGCTACATGATGAAACTGCTGCATAGAAACCATACCTACAGTTCAATTAACATCAGATTCTCTAAACTGTTGTCACATTGTTATTTTGTAGAAATCAGGACCCAGAAAGAAGTGCACAGGTAACTTTTTTGCATGTATTATATAAAAACTAATGCTACTTTGTTGTATATCTTGGATATGGTTGAACCATTCCCTATCCTATGGAGACTACTTCAATTTCATCATTGCATTTCTCTAACATGGCTTCTTGCCCCACAGATACAGGTAAGTGTATACATGTAATACATGTACGTTTTCCAGTTTTTGACAACTAGAGATGTCATTTTCTTCAACTTCCCCTCACTACATTAAAATTTATCCACTTTTATTAAAGATGTTCCATTTAGTCATCTTAAATATTGAGAAAGCTTAGCAGTCTTCTTGTTATTATCTTCAGAATAATGCAATTATTATCAAAATTAATAAAAAATTGCCCAGCATCCAGTCTGAACTTGTCCAGTAGCATATTTCCTTTTTCTGTCACTTAAATCTACATGGTGGCTTCTCACTGAAGCATTTGATTGTTTTCTCTTTGTTTCATGAATGCAGAGTAGCTAAGGGACCATGTGGGTGGGTGGAAGAATTGCACAAGACACACTCCTAAAAGGAGACATTGGCCAGGGGTGATTGTGGTTGTTGGTTTTCTCCTGTTGTGTGTTCATCAAAAGTTGTAAACAAAGCACCATCATTGAAATCAACGTTTTTTTTTTTTCATACAGTCATATTGGATGATATTGGATTATATAGCAAGAACTTTTTTTGGTCTTTAACCCTTTAACTCTAGAGATCTGATTGTTAACTCCCCTCTTGCTGAAAGACATTTCCTTGTAAATTAGCTACAAGAATTTGGGTTAGATCAAGATAACAATTTCTAGCTGATGGATTTGAATATTCTCATCACCTGTTTCCCTGATAATGTATGGATTCTATAGCCAGAGAAGGAACATGTTAATCACTTCTAGTAATTAAAGGATTAGGTAGATTTCAAGCAAGGTAGAAATCATTTTAGGACAACATCAACATGACCTTGCCATTGCTCTATCAGGAGGCTTACAGGGTTCCTACACTCCTTGGGAGTCCTTGAAAGTCCTTGAATTTAATTTTTTGATTTCAAGGACTTGAAAACCCTTGAATTTAGTCTCGGGTTCTGAAAAATTTCTGAAAAGCCTTTGAAAATAAGTGCAGATGAATCAGAGTCAAAGTTTTCTTTTGTTTTTGGTGTTGAAAGTTTCTAGCACAAGTCGTGAAAACGAGTTTTTCTTTCAATTCCTGCGTCCAATTATGATGTTTTGACATGTGATAAAAAGCAATGTTTTTTTATTTCTGTTAGCATTGTGATAAAAAGCAATGTTTTTTTATTTCTGTTAGCCACTATTTGATGCAAAAGGTCCTTGAATTTGAGAGCCAACGTCCTTGAAAATGACCTAAAAGTCCTTGAGAGTCCTGAATTGGGTTCCTGAAAAAGTGCAAGCACCCTGGGCTTTAAGCTACATCTTATAATATAGCTTTATTATATTATAACTTGTGCATAACTAATTTAAACTTCTTCCAGTATTATACCAATATTGATAATACTTCTGGTGCTGAATTCCTATTTGATCTACCCCACAGCTTGTAAAATCATTGTCCATGCTAAGTGCATAGAACAGCTGTACAGGGTGAGTACAGAAAAGTTAATTTTAGTAGCCTTTGACAGAACTCTCTCCACAGGTTGATAAAAATTGTCATGAAGTTGTATTACGTAGAATAAACACACTACATGATTGTACATTCATTAATCAGAGTTTACCTCTGTATGTAATTTATATCACTGAGCACAATTTTTTTTCCATGGTACTTGTCAATATTGTCTCAAGTATGATGTGTTTGTTTCAGATAAACTTCAAATGCAAACCAACATTCAGGGAAATCCTTCCAAAGTCTTCACATGAAGTATGTTCTTGTATGCTTGTAACATTTTACATCAAAAGGTGTTTCCATAGAGTAGTCGAAGTGTTGTTTTTCACCACGTTGATGGGATGAGTATTATGCTTTGATTGCATAAGATTGGATATCACAGGATTGAAAACTGACAGAGATTTTTCATTTTATTACTGTTATACTTGTAGGCATACTCAGAAGAAAGAAATTCATAATGTGCCATGTAACATTGCAAAAGAAGGTGTTGACTCACATGGAAGATATTGAATTACTTTCTCTGATGTCAGAGACAAAGTAGGGTTGTAACCATTATCCTACTGACCTCCCAAGCTTACCCTCTCCATCCATACAGCAATTTTTGATAGACTTTTCCCCTCTCAATTATGACCAATTCCCTTTGTATTTGGGCCTTAAATTGCGGAAAAAGAGCTTGGTCCTTAACCTTCAAAAGATACCCCACACTTGGTTAGTAAGAGTTTTATATACATCTCTGTTTTAGAGTAATGTTCGTCATCACTGGGTTCATCGTCGCAAACAAGAAGGGAAGTGCCATCATTGTGGCAAGGTAATATAATTATTACTGCTTACATTGTACACTACTATAAATGATAGTGCACTTTTGTCTATAAAACACTGCAGAAGTATATTTTGTTTGTGAATACAAGACAAAGGGAAACAAAAATCAAGTGGCTTGAAAAAAATTCAAACCAACCAAATTTTGATACTTTATGGCTATGCCCTAAGTATAGTTGATGTTCTATGTAACAATTCATTTCTCTTTTTCCACTGTACAGTCTTTCCAGCATATGCTATCCTTTCAGACAAAGGTATTTTAATTTGATATTTTAATTCTTAGTAAGTGTGTGCTTTAGAAGGTGCAAAATAGTAACTAAAGGTTACTGTAATAGCAGTAGCTCCAAAGCAGTGTTAATAAACACCAATAACAAACCAGCTTTTTTTTTTTTTTAGTGTTCTACCACCCAAGTCACCATATGCCTGTTTAATTCTTTATTTGTTTATTTATATTTACATCTACAAACATTTGAAGGTAATAAATGTTGATAGGGGAACTTTGGAACAGATTGATTACAGAAGCATCAGTTGTTTCAAGATTGGAACAAAGGTGTCATGGGTTTAATGAATTTCTGGAAACAATTCAAAACCATTTTTCTGTGCTTTTTTTTTTTAATTTGATTTTCACTTATTTATTTGTTTATTTAATATTCATCTGGTAACTAGTATGTAATTTTCATTTTTTTTAACAGGATATTATTGCAATTAGTTGTTCATGGTGCAAAGCTGCAGTAAGTACAGTATGTTGTTAAATTTATGTTCTCAAATTCTGGTTGTTAGAGTTGGAAGGTTGCCATGCATTACCCAAATTGTTATTCAAGGCTGTCAATCAGTTGGTCGATGGCAATTAACAATTGGCTCATGCTTTAGCGTGCACTATCGAGTTATGGAGCACGCGGGAAGTTTGGAGAGCACGAAAGAAGCGTAACAGTTGCCCAAGGCGATAGCCGAGGGCAACTCTAGTTTCATGAGTGCTCTCCAAACTTCCCATGTGCTCCATAACTCGATAGTGCACAGCTGAAAGCATGAACCAATTGTTTTAGAACATAGCTGGTGGAATTGTGCATCAAATCCAATGCGAAAAACGGACAACAATATCAGTTGAAGCGAATCGTGACGGTGCTGATGCCGAGTCTCCTTTTCATTTGCTTTTCTCTTTTTCTGCCTCATTTAAGAACTCTAGCCCAAGGGAAAAGGTCAAAACATTGTCTTCGTTTTCGGACTAGTAGGCCAAGTTTCTGTTTGTATCCATTATTGTCGCGATATATATTTGACACTTTCAGCATGCACTATCAGAATTTTGAGCACACTTACGTATATTGAATTTGATTGCGCGACTCTGCTAGCTATGTTCTAAATAAGAAATAGCAGGTAGTTAGGTTATCATTGACAATATGTTGTTTTGTCATATTACATGTATGCACAAGATTGGGAAATATTCACTGTGAAAATTTTGCAGGTATTACACAGAGTTTGCATGAACCTCCAAGCAAATTCTGAATGTGGAATTGATTTTTACATCTAAACCTACACTGCATTCTAAGAAAGAAAATTAGGCATTCATTTTCACTCAAAAACTGTAGAGAAGCTTCAAATATTTTGATGCTATTTGAATAATTGTAAAAGTTTGATCAGGACTTATGGTAGACTGAGGTGATAATATTATGACACACCAGCCATCTTTTTTTCCCGGCCACCCACTCTTATTGACAGCTTTGGCCTTGGAAAGACCAGAGCCTAGAGGTACTTCAACACTTTCAATACAATTGCAATGGCTATGGCGGATTTAAGACTATTTTTCCTAGTTCTGATTTTCATAGGTCCACAAGGAATTAATTTAACTCATGTTTGTTGGTTTATTTAGTATCAATATTTCTTTTTACAGTATCATAATAAAGTGGAGTGTTTTAAGATGAACAAAATAGATGAAATTTGTGATTTAGGAGCTCATGCAAACCTCATCGTCCCACCATCTTGGGTTGTAAAGCTCCCTCCGATAAGAATGCATGTAAGTTTTCATTATCTGTGCAGGATGATATGATTTTTTTAAATGTTAGTTTAAGCCTTTTAACTCCCAAGATCTGATAGTTAGCTCTCCCCTTTAGCTGCCACAATTTCCTTGTTAATTAGTTGTGAGAATTTGATGTTACTGTAGGTCAAGATAACAACTTCTAACTGGTGAATTTTAGTATTTCCATTACCCGTGTGAGGTTTTTGATTTATGACACAGAAACTGATATTGACAATTATAAAGACAAAATATTGTATGAAAAATGTCCAAAATATGAATTCAAAGTTACTTTAATTTCATCAAATATTGATTTCCTTTCATGAGGAGTGATCATGTTTATTACATGAACAGCACTGAGAACAGTACATTAAGTCATGTAATAATTAGGCAGTGTAATGTTAAAATTGATTACCTGTAATCTTATGCAGTATTTATCTTTACTTTTGTATATGAAATCTTCATCTTTTGCAGGCAAGAAGCTCCTCTGTGAAGAGGAATAGCTTTAAAAAGAAATCCCTAAAAAGAAAATCAACAAAGGTTAGCAGAAGTAGTTCTTACAATTGGAAGATTTTTTCATTTAAAGTTAAGCCCCTGATAATTTTTGGTATGGTGACTCTTAGGTGGTCCAGACAGCAATTATTTTTGGTGCAATATTCAGTGCACCATTAAGAATTGCATTATAGAAAAACTACATATTAAGTCAACAAGTTACTACCTAAAGAAGTAAAATGAAAGTTAATTCATAAATAAGTCAAGATGAAACTTTTCATTTCAAAGATGAGCTTGTGATTGTTTCTTACAGCTATTGTTAACTAGTTAATTGATTCTAATGCCTACTGCCCTTAAATGTTATGGAAGCCAGTAAAGGTAAAGTAAATCTTTAAATCATGCTGAGTATGGTAACATAATTAAAGCGTGGACAATGCATTTACAATTAGGCCTAATTAAAATGTTTGCCTTGCTCATTCAACATCTATAATAAACTCTTGCAACAGAGCGATGGAAGTAGTGACAGTGATGGAGATGATGATGTGATCAACATTCAATGGTTTCTTGAACTCAGCACTTTTGCTATTAATGTAAGGTCTTGTAGAAAAAAAGTAACATAATCTGCATTTCTGCTTTTAACATTAAATCCTCGTGTATTTATTTCTTTTGTTAACAGTTAATGGTTTTATTTTATTAAAATCACTTCTAGTATTAAATTTTCACATGTTATAATACCTGTCTCTAATTGATCAGTAATATAATTCTGATGAGCACTTATGATGCAAACATGAATAAACAGCATAGTATAAATAGTATAAGACATGAAATCTGAACTGTCTTTCTGTAGATTTATTTAAATGTAATTTTGCTTGCTAACTATTTTAATCCAACAAGCTCTACCACCGACTATACATCAGCAGCTTGAAAAATTATTTGGCACTGTTAATATAGCCATGTGTCAATGATGAATTCTCGCCTGGTGTATTAAATGTTTTAGAATCTTAAATTCAATGATTAACATTTACCCCCTTTTTTCACTGAAAAGTGCCACAAATGTCACAACTGAAACAAGCTATGTGATGCTTTTTGGTTGTGGGGCCAGTTTCTCAAAAGTCTTGGTAACTTGATGAGCCCAAAGCTATAATTCTAAATTAGAATTTTTTAAATAGAGAGACTTATTCTGGCATCTTAACAATTCCATTTTGTTCCTTCAGCTGATAGTTTTGTTGTATAATTTGCAAAAACTTTTGAAACACTGGTCTAGAATGAAAACAGGACAGCTTTACAGGTCAGTAAATGGCCAGGACCTTTGAGAAACGGGCCCTAAGAACCCCCAAAGTCTGATATATTTGGTGATTTTCATTTCTATCTGCTGTACATTTCCCTCTAAAGTAGTCAACAGAATTTGGCGTCATATCAAAACACACCACTATCTCATCACTAGGAATGTCTACTTTCATCACCTGTTTGGTGTTATTATACTAATGAATTGACATTTGTGAACTTTCTTATTAAATCCTTGGGGCTTAAATGATATGCAGTCAGTGGCTGAAAACAGAAGGGAACTCAAACACTTTGTAGCTGCTGGAATTCAGCATTTCCCTGGGCCCTGCCTGTATGATTATGATGATGATGAGAATTTGTTAATCAACATAACCATACCACACTTTGGGAGGGTCTCCAAAGAAGCATGAGCTTTGACTGTCTCTTCTTTCTGTATCTTCTGAAGATTTTTGCCCCCAGGCAAGAATACCTTTTGTAAAGTTCTATACAATTTTGATAATGAAGTAGGAATATTGTTAAAAGGCCAGTTGATACCTGGTATAATTTATCTTGACTTAGTAAATGGTGTAACTGGTATGTGTACTCTCTCTTTTAGGAAAGGAAACCTTTTGTGGTAAGCATTAGTTCGTCCCATTAAACTACCTTCTTAGTAAATCCAAAAGTGATAGACCAGTTTCAAAATAATTTTTTTTTGTTTGGAACAGTAACTTTTTCAGCGGTTGCAGACATTTGTCAGTGACAAAAAGGCATAACTCCTTTATTTAGAGGACTGAATTCATACAAAATGTGAAGTCACATGAAAGAAATATGTGTCCATAAATAGTTGACTGTGTATTTGCCTCCCTCTTTGACTAATTCTCTTGCATGTTTCTTTCTGGGAATATCAGTTGCTCAATTGCTAACCACAGTTACCCCATGTCATATTTTGGTCAAAAATAGTTATCCCTGTTACCCCTCCACACTCAGGACTAAAAATTAGTAATAGCAAACTCTCAGGGCAGCCTGACACTATTGATAGTGATAAACCAGTAATCTGGGAGGATATGGGCTGAGTGGTTGACAAGGTGATGTTACCACATATCAGAACCACATGTTTAAACCAAGTCAGTGCATATCATACAATGATGTCACAGTTGCTTAGCTTGGATGTTCAAGGATTTAGGAATTATTTTCCTAGTTATATTTCTTAAGTTTCATATTATTAATAGTCTCAAGATTTTATAGATAAAGCCTTCTGGATCAGCACAGCGCAAGCCTTTACTAGTGTTTATTAACCCAAAGAGTGGTGGAAATCAGGTAATTTTCCTCACATTTTCATTTTTAGTTTTAAATATTAATTTTTAATGTAAATATAATTTCAGAACTGGACAAAGAGTTCCCTGCAATTTAATTTCTCTAAATGCAACATCTGTTTGTATGTCCTTGTCACAGGGAGCCAAAATCATGCACAAGTTCCAGTGGCTATTGAACCCCAGACAGGTGTTTGATCTGTCAAGAGGAGGTCCTCGATTAGGGTATGTGCAAAGGACTTTTCAAAGTTTCATTTGTAATATGGCAGTTCCCTGATGGTGGATCTTTAGTGTACTCAGGGTAGCCATGCAGAGTACAGTGAATGCTTATTGGTTGAGATTTAATGAAAATACAGGACACCAAACTTATTTTTACAAAGGGTTGGGTGTGTGTGTGTGCAGTTGCTCCCTGGTATACTTCTTTGTTCAAATTGTCAAGTGCAGGTACACTATTTTCATCAGTTTGCAACAGATTCCTATGAAACATTGCAGATTTACCAAAGTTAACATTTAGCTGTGGGTCAAGTGTTTTATTTTATCAATTGGGAATTGTAAATTTCTGTTTTTAAAATCCACAATCAATTCCAAACACAATGAATGTGCCAAATAATCCTCATTACAAAAATTAATGATTCATGTTGACTTTTGTAGGATTAAAACTTGCTTGAAATGATTATAGGTTTGTTTGAATTGGTCGATTCTGTGGCTGTTCACTTGTACTTGGCAAGAGATCTTTTACTTGAAGCCAACTTAAACTGAACACTGATCACTCATTATAAGTCTGAGTACAGCTGAAGCTCTTATTCTGATTTTGTCTTTGATCATAGTCTGGAATTGTACCGAAGGGTTCCTAATCTTCGAATACTAGCCTGTGGTGGAGATGGAACCGTAAGTTTTCAATATTTTTAGAATTCACAGTTTTACATAACTGAACCTATTCTTTGTTGAGATTTCTAAGGTGATGTACATGGTTAGTTTGAGTGGCCAAAAAAGCTGTGCATCTTTAAATCACCAATATACTCTTACTCCAAACAGTTTACCAAACCCCTTCTCCACTCTGCTTTGCTTTGGGTCTCATTGAGACCAAAGTATTTCTGACATGATTGCTTACATGTATATTATTTCTGTGGGTAATTTATGATAATATTCTTAGTATTGGTAATATGTTGAAGTTTGGCTGGCCTTGTTGTTACTTAATTTCCATCTTACTTTTGTTCTAGGTTGGCTGGGTGCTGTCTGAACTTGACAAACAAAAAATGACACCCCCACCCCCTGTGGCTGTGCTTCCACTGGGGACAGGAAATGACATGTCTAGAGTTCTCAATTGGGGAGGGGTAAGGAGTATTTCTTTGAGTATTGCTGTCAAATTCCCCTATTTTTTGTTCACAGATTACTACTTCATGCATGGGAAACTGGGTATTTTTTTCAGGGGATGATGGAATTGTTAAAAATAAAACCTGTGTTCCCATCCAAGCATCATCAGAAGATGTGCAACCATACCTTACAAATTCCTAGTAAAACTCCTGAAAATCGTAGCAAAACCAGGGTTCCACAGATTTCTGTCTGGACAAGCAGATTTCTATGTCTAGACTGGCACATCATTTGAAAATCTTAAGTGACGGATAGTTAGATTTGTAAGATATTTATCCTGACTCACATGCTTTTGATGCTTGTTCGAAATGTCACAGTGCATCACGCGTTACTCCCTGGTATTTTGTCATTAACAAATGATAAACACCGCAGCTTACACTATTGAATTATGGAGGCATGTAGGAGGTTGCTAAGCACGAAAGAAGCGTAAGAGTCGTGCGAGGCGATAGCCGAGAGCTACTCTAGCTTCTTGGTGTGTACCATTTGTTTTATAACTTAACATTGTAGCGACAGAGTTCCCTTTTATTTAACAAATCTTACATGACCAGAATACTAAGCGCGCGAAAACTAGTCTTGCAATTGCACACGTCAGCAGCGAACACTCAGGTATGTACTTCATGGCTGAATTCCATATAGACTTATAGTGCTAGTTCCACATAGACGACATCCATTCCCAGCCATCCTTTACCATCCCTAACCATCCTATACCATCCCTAGACATCCTTTATCATCCATACCCATCCTTTGACATCCCTAGCCATCCTTTACCATCCCTAGCCATCCTTTACCATCCTTAGCCATCCCTAGCCATCCTTTACCATCCTTAGCCATCCCCATCCATCCCTAGCCCTCTCCAGCCATACATAGCCATCCTTTACCATCCCTAGCCCTCCCCAGCTATCCTTTACCATCCATAGCCATCCCTAGCCATCCTTTACCATCTCTTACCATCCATAGCCATCTTTTGACATCCCTAGCCATCCTTTACCATCCCCATCCATCCTTTACCATCTTTAGCTATCCCTTACCATCCCTAGCTATCCCTAGCCATCCTTTACCATCCTTAGCTATCCCTAGCCATCCTTTACCATCCTTAACTTTCCCTAGCCATCCCCATCCACATTTACCATCCCTAGCCTTCCTTTACCATCCTTAGCTATCCCTAGCCATCCTTTACCATCCTTAACTTTCCCTAGCCATCCCCATCCACATTTACCATCCCTAGCCTTCCTTTACCATCCTTAGCTATCCCTAGCCATCCTTTACCATCCTTAGCTATCCCTAGCCATCCTTTACCATCCTTAACTATCTCTAGCCATCCCCATCCATCCTTTACCATCCCTAGCCTTTCTTTACCATCCTTAGCTTTCCCTAGCCATCCTTTACCATCCTTCGCTATCCCTAGCCTTCCTTTACCATCCTTAGCTATTTCTAGCCATCCTTTACCATCCCTAGCCATCCATAGCCATACCCAGCCATCGTTTGCCATCCACAGCCATCCTACATGTATGTACCTGTAGTCCAGACGCTGTATCCTTCCCTGTCAATAGAGAAAATGGAATGAGTTGATTCTACAGCAAAAAAAAAAGATCCAGGGTTTTCATTTAAGAATTGGAGTAGCAGGAGAATGGGAAGAAGTAGCAGGAGAATGGGAAGAAGTAGCAGGAGAGGCAGTCTGAATGAGCAAAGCTCTTTCATGGTACAAGCTTTGCTTGTTCCCTCTAGGGGGGTCTGGGGGTGTGCTCCTACCCCTAAGGAAAAATGTGGATTTTTAAACCCTCTGAGATGCTATTTCCTGTTGTCTAAGGTACAATTTTGTTCCCAGTTTGCTGATTTTATAATGATGTATACATTACGGTTTTTTCTTTGAATTTGGTTAGCAAGCAAGTAAGGTTAAATCAAGAGCTCTAACCTTTTTTCTCCTCAAGTCATATCAAATAGGTCACAATCTACCTCCCCAAATAATATACACTGCACCATTAAATGATGGCTGGGGAGGGCTAGGGATGGTAAAGGATGGCAAAGGATGGTAAAGGACGGCTAAGGATAGCTATGGATGGTAGGGATGGTAAATGATGGCTGGGTATGGCTATGGATGGTAAAGGATGGACAGGGATGGTAAAAGAAGGCTGGGGAGGGCTAGGGGTGATAAAGGACGGCTAGGGGTGGCTATGGATGGCTAGGGATGGTAAAGGATGGCTAGGGATGGTAAATGATGGCTAGGGATGGTAAAGGATGGCTAGGGATGGTAAATGATGGCTAGGTATGGCTATGGATGGTAAAGGGTGGATAGGGATGGTAAAGGAAGGCTGGGGAGGGCTAGAGATGGTAAAGGACGGCTGGGGAGGGCTATGGATGGTAAAGGATGGATAGGGATGGTAAAGGATGGCTGGGTATGATAAAGGAAGGCTGGGTATGGCTAGGGATGGTATAGGATTGCTATGGATGGCTGGGGAGGGCTATGGATGGTAAAGGATGGCTATGGATGGCTAGGGATAGCTAAGGGTGGTAAATGATGGCTAGGGATGGATGAGGATGGTAAAGGACGGCTGGGTATGGATAGGGATGGTAAAGGATGGCTATTTATGTAGAATCAGCACTATATATGTCGTCTATATGGCATTCAGCAACCATGAAGCACATACCAACACCATGGGCAAGGGGTGCACACTGAATTGACCAATCAGAGCACACGCTTTATTTTGGTTATGTTTTAATGACATTGGGGCTCTGTTATACTCCTGAGTAGAGAGATGCACTGTAAGAGCAGTCCTGGAGTCCTGGGCTGGGTTGAGATAACTCAGGATTAGTGTGATGTCTGAATTCAGATCTCAAAGCCTTAAAAGAAAACTCAATATAATTCTCTTTTTCCAGAATATATTTTTTGAATGCTCTCTAAAGGATAGGGAAAATTAATCCCAAAAGGGCTTTTAAACAAAGGAATAAAGAAACCCACGTTAAAATATTACGTTGGGTTAGTGCTAATCCGCCTTCCAACAACTGGACCCTGCAGCATTTATGCTCTTTACTACCACCCATTTAATACACAGAGTAGTTATCGTCAAGGCATATTCAATAATGTTTGATTTTCTTTGAAGGGTTATACAGATGAACCTTTGTCAAGAATTTTAACACACATTCATGAAGGAAGTATTGTCCAGCTCGACAGGTTAGGCGTGATGCATTTTTATTCGTAACATGTTTTTCTTTTTTTTTTTTTTTCGTCTTCAGTCAAAATGACTATTTCACATTACATACTTGTAATTTGATTTTTCCAGATGGAATCTGGAAGTAACATTTAATGAAGCAGGTGAAAATGATTCCTCTGATGAAGCGGTTGACAAGGTGAATAATTATCGACGAATATTTAGTTAGTCTTTGCATTACTTTTGTACAGAGTTTGATTTTCAGCATAGGGGGTTTCAACTGTGAGGGGAGTTTTGAAGCCATCAGAAAGATGGTAGTTTTCTTTTGCTCAATATTCATCCCTCCCATGCGAATCTGTGTTGTAAATCTGAATTTTCTTGCGTTTGATTTGGTTTATCGTCTGAATTAACTCAACCTAATTTTTTTTTACCCACCTTTAGCTTCCCTTGAATGTCATGAACAACTATTTTAGTCTGGGATTTGACGCTGAAGTCTGTTTAGAATTTCACGAATCAAGAGGTGTGTATGACGTACAAACCGCTCAATGTAAAACCCACCCACAGTTCGTTGCATATTGATGGACTAACTCTTTGATGGTGTTTAGACACTCAAATATTTTCTTCTTATCTCTTCCTTCATTTCTAGAGGCCAATCCAGATAAATTCAACAGTAGATTTAAAAATTTAGTATTTTATGGAAAGGTAAGTACTCTTTATAAACCCAACAATTTGAGCTACAGTATAGCAAACAGGTGACAAGTTAACAGGGGTTAATTGGGTTTAAAGGTGTAACTGTAATACAGTATAAATGCTGTGAATACATAGACGTCCAGTTTGGAAATACGTACGGTAATAACGGAAATGATGTAGGGAATCTTTGTCCAAGTTATTTGGATATATCAACAAAGTTGAAATGGTCCAAGTTAGCATGGTAACTCATCAGTCTTATTTTTGCAGGCCAGCAGTGCAACTTTCCTTCAGAGAAAAGCTCGTTCCTTCTTCAGATATACAACTATAGAGGTTTGTTCTCTCAATTTCTTCACGCAATTTTGAGATTTTAGTGCAGTCGTGTGGTTGGTCACATTTGACAGAAGCGTCTTTTTCAAGTTTACTTGCGCGTTCATTTTAAAAATTAACGTTCTCTTACCTTATCGTATCCTGTTAGTGTGTGAATTAATGTTATATGTTTGCAAAGTAGTGTCCCTCCAGAAAATAAGAATGCCTTAAAGCAAACAAGTTTTCTTCTAATTTTTACTGGTGTTGTTGTATTGTAGTGTGATGGAGTTGATCTCACCGATAAGCTTCAAGAAACCAAACCTCTGTGCCTTTTATTTGTCAACATCCCATCGTGAGTTGTGTCACTTCTTTTAATATGCCATTGGTGCAAGGGAGCATGTCTCTTCAACTTTTTCTCTTCAAACTCTGAGGAGAAATGAAAGTATTCGTTGTCTCCCTAGCCTTCTTGCATACACCTCCTCAGACTCGTCACGCAATCCTTCTGCCCTTGAACGCTTGACAATCCAGTGAGGCTGCTGGGTAATCCCCCTGTTTTTTTCTTCTCATGTCGATATTTCCTCGTCTTTCAGATATAGTGCTGGTACGTCACCTTGGGGACACCCGGGAAAAGACAGCGTAAGTAAACCTTGTAGTATAAAGAAAACGAACGAGTGAATCTTCAGAGACCACATTGATGGAAAACCACAAGTGAAGAAATTCAATTCAACTTGGTAATTTTGGTTTTTAGCGATTGATTGATTTATAATGTATATTGGCCACCGTAAAGAGTTTCAAAGCTAAAGTTTCGAGCGTTAGCCCTTGGCCCTCGCTCTGATGAAGGGCTAACGCTCGAAACGTCAGCTTTGAAACTCTTTACGGTTGCCAATTTATAATAGGGACCTTACGCAACCACGACGGCGACGGCAACGAGGACGTGGAAAAACAGGATATCTAATTGGCAGAACAATAGCTCAGCACGTGCGTTTTGAAACTTTGTACATTTCTTAGCCGTCCTATGCAAAACAACAGCGTGAAATCGCCAAAATTTGCGTCGTCTGCGAACCGAAACCGCGACGGCAAATTATTTTAATTTCCATTTGGAACTCAACGCTACTTTTATACGTCATGCTGAAGTTGAGCTGTGGCGCCGTATGAGACAGTAAGCTCCTGCATCCATTTTTGAAATTCTAACTAAGAGTAGAAATTCAATTTTTAATCGAAGTCTTCCTTGACGTTGCCGTCCTGATTGCGTAAGGTCCCTATTATCAACTCAGTGGATAAAACCAAAATTACCTTGTTATATTCCCCCACCAACGCTGCACCATAGTTTCTTAAGAAACTCATCCCCCTTAATTCAACTAGGTTGCTGTACCCTAGTGCTATTAATCGACAGTCGCTTTGTTTGACGCTGCCTCCTGGGAAACTAGACACAATCGAATGCTACGGGAATAATTTTTTTGGCAAGTTATACGTTTCTGTGCTGTGGTCATTAATTGTTTGGAATTTTTCGTAGGAGTTTCAGTCTCAAAGACTTGACGATGGTTATCTGGAGGTGATTGCACTCACTTCAGCAACGCTGGTAAGTCGGTCCGGCTTAATCCACACAGCCACAAAATGGTCATATTTTAGACTGTCATGGTTGTTGTAAGATCCAGCTGGCTAATTTTAAAGCAAAGCTCTTAGTAATGGTAAACTCAGCTGCCGTTTTAGCTGGCGCCTTCGCGACCGACACTAGTTTTCTTTTTTAGCGAGAGTCCCTCACGGTTGGGTGTGATTAAAAGGACACCGTTTTACAATTTCATTATTGTTTTCGTTCATTTACTTAAGGGGAGAACCATAACATAATGGAAATCAAATTTTAACTGAGAGAGAGGATCTCGTGAAGGGACTTGGAGCCCTAAGGCCATCTACTGACTTGAGTGAATGATGTCTTAAAATGTCTTTGCTTGTTTAGGCGACGACACGAGTTGGAGGTCATGGTGAGAGGATGGCACAGTGTAAAGAGGCTGTTCTTGCGACCAGTAAATCTCTTCCCATGCAAGTGGATGGAGGTCAGTGAACGTAAAACATCCTGTCTTCGTTCCCATACCTAAACATTTTTTGTTTCGTTGTCATTATTTTCTGAACACTCGGGTTTTATTTAGGGAACAATCTTGAGATAAAAAGAAGTGTCCGATAACCGAGCTGATGACAAACGCAGGGATCGTACCAACTTTTACCTTTGGGACCATTGCCTCTTTCTCTTAGAAAGACGTGCTCCAAACAACAACACATTAGTACCGTGTTTTACCCTTGCCTTAATTAATGAGAGGAGCAAACTTTTTGTTCAAGTGGTCCTGTTGCACAGTTCACTTGACTTCTGGTTAAAGCAGCTAATTTATTATAAGAACAAACAGATTAGAACTACAGTTCGGAAAGGGTTTTCAGTTGCAAATACTTTTTTGTTCTTTCTTAAGAACCCTGTAGATTATGCCCATCCAGAATAAGAATAAGTAGGAGAAACCAGGCAAACATGTTACAAAAAGTGAAGGTTAGTGTTTTACCTTCCATATTTACTTAATTCAGTCAACCGTTGAAACAGGTGCAATGAATAAAAGTAGTGTCATCATTGCAAAGACTAATAGTTGTATGAACTGAAATTTCCGTCTTTGATTTTATGAAGCAAGGCTTAGTGGGTCGAGCGTACCTCTATGCCCTCTGAATAACACACCAATCATCGTAGGTTATTCTTCGCAGTTCGTCAGGTCTAGTTGGGTTTTTCTTGGCAATCCATTATCAATCAGAATTCTCAGTGAGACGATGTAAGAATTAATTGTCTAGCCCTTTAACGCACTGCAGGGACACCAGCCATGACTGAAGCCTGAACTGCTGGACCTGGAACGAAGCATGTCCACAAGGATGCTATCTTTCTCCCAAAAGTGTGCATGACTATGATTATTGATCCATTGTGAACAAATGCAGTGTGGGGTAGCCTATCATCACCCAGGTTGTCCCTTTTATATATAGCAGGTATAACCAACTGAATGGGCCATTTCAATAGACACTGTCTTTTCTTCTCTCAACAGAGTCGGACAGAACGTTCCAATTCGAATGCAGGGTATGAATTTTCTCAATTATGCCGTTCTAACTCCTCGTTATATCTCAGTTTTAGTTTATATTCTCCCCATGCTTTAGATTGAAAACCGGTGGAATATGAAGCATTTTTTGTTTGTTTGTTTCTCTGTGTAGGCCTATTCCATGTCCTGAACCAGTGAAATTACAGATATTCCGAGTTGCTTTCAGTGATTATGAGAAGCATTGTTACGACCTGTTACAGCTAAGAGATACTTGTGAGTACGAAACGTTTAATTTCGATCTAGGCGAAGCATTTTAATATCCGGGGAATTCAGACGAGGGACCGTTAAGATGCAGGGGGTAGGTGGAAGGCTTTTTGAAGAGAGGGGCGAGGGGAATCCTGATGGGGCCTAATGGATAGGGGCGCTTTTTGAGGGCTCATCGGAGGGAGGGACAGCTAGATGAGGGACTTAATAGTTTGTGGGGCTAATCGGAGAAAATGGCTTCCAAATACAGTATAATTTTACAGTAACTCACTCTCATCAAACAACTCCTGTTGCGTCATTTAATGTGGCAAACGTAGTTAGCAGTAACATCTCTTTGGAGAGGGGTAGGATTGTATTCTGGAAACATACACCAACCATGTGCGCGGTCATGTTAATTACTCGTTTTATATTCATTTCAGCGACGCTTTTGGCGACGACAGCGATAGAACCCGACGCTGACTTAGAGCAAATGAGGGCTTGGATCGAGCGGTTTAAAGAGGACGAGGAAGAACAGGTACAAGAAAATCCAAAAAAATTGTTTTTCGAAGAAATTAGAACCATATTGCACCTTTCCGTGAAAACAAATTAGTATGAAATACCTTTGACTGCCGTACAAACTTTTCCTTTTTTATTTCTTCAGAAAGCGACCTTGTCAGATGATTGGTGTTTCTTGGACAGTAAGCCTGTATTGTGTCTTTATTTCAATCGCACAGTGCTTATTATTGAAAAAGGCAATTCAGATAGCACAGAATGTTCTGGAAACATTGAACTTTCACTTTAGACTACTTATGTAAATTCAGTTTGGTTTGACCTTAGTACTGGTTTCGTCCTTCCCTTGGTTTCTTATCGCGACTTGTTTTGTTGAGATAGGATTTCAGCCATCTCTTTGCTGGTTTCTCTGTATCATATTGTCACTCGTGGACCTCGCGGTCTAGTGTGTACTGAGCAAGACTAGTGTGTAGTGGCTGAGGGTCGTGTCCAGTATATCTCTACCTTCACAGGTGCATATCGAAAAGTCGTATCAACAAAAGTATGAAATTGTCTTGATTCACTCATTGAATTGTTTCCTTTTTTCTTCTTCGTAGCAACTTATCCTGACAGAGTTTATCGTGTGGATATCGCGCAGGTAAACGGAGTTGCTCATGCACCCAGCTGATTTCCCCTTGTTTTTTTGTTTTTAAGGACGTTTGAAGTTTTTTACTGGTAAGCTGATTCTTTTTACCCTCTAGGAAAAAATATACAATGTAGTGGACATTCTCGAGGATGGAATATTCCTCGTCGACCTAAAGGATGACCTTGTGAAGTAAGAAATCTCCTGATAATTTTTTTTTTTAAATTTAATGATCCGCATCAATTGTTTGTGTTAAGCTCTTATGCGAGGTATAATTTAAGCAACGCTGCATCATGATAGTCATTGATTGAATGTCACGCTGCCTTTCATCAAGCTGTTAAGTTTGAGATAAATTACGGATGCTTGGAAGAGGGTTGTGAAACCACTTAACAGTCAAAAACAAAACTTCAAATGAAACCTTGGTCTCGAAATAAAAGGGCTTTTAATGTTAAAGATAGTCATATACCTTGGCAGCTCAGCGCGCTTACCTCTCCTTGCGTCTCGTAGTTAACCAGGTATTGGGAAGGAAAAGTAAACAGAGGAAGTCTGCGTGTTCAATAATTTTTACGGAGACTATTTGATCTGCTTCCAGGACACAGCGAAATAACAAGACCAGTGTTTCTACCTCTTCCCCACGGCTCAAGAGACCGCTGTCCGTTCCTGGGGGTCCTGTCCCCAGGGCCCCCAGTCTGATCAATCGTTCACCGGTTGCTCTGCCCCCACCACTGAGGTATAACAGCTCACTTGGATCCAGTCCATCGGAGAGTGTGGAGGATATTGTGGAAACTACGATCATGACACCATTTCACACGTAAGTTAGCTAACCTGGCAATTTCCTTTTTGTCTTGAAGGCGCGATTTTGTTTTCAAACTTAAAAAATTTTGCTTTCCGAGCATCAATTTTCCTTCCGAAGACGGCACTCTACTGCTTCGGATCTTTGAAACAGCAGAAACAGTTGGTACATTAATTTGGATAGGAAAATGTTCGATAAGGCCTTCGATACCGTTAATCATTGGATCCTCTTGCGTAAACTGGAATTGTACGGTATTACTGGGAACGCCTTGTCATTTGTTATTTCAACTAAGGAGCCGTAAACAAAAATGCCAGCGGAATGTCGCAGCCTCTTTAGAAAGTCAGTTTACTCGTGGAATGACTCAATTCAAGGCCAACTCCTCTTCCTCTATTACATAAACGACCTACCAGAGTGCCGTGGGAAGGCGTCTCTGCGTTTATTCGCAGAATTTAGGAAGAGGTTCACTCAGCGCCCACTTACGGATACTGGATGAACGGCAAGTGAGCGAGTGGGGTCCCCCAGAGAATGTCTGAAGGCCAAGAACAAAGGGAAAATAGGGACTGGAGTCTTGGGCAGGGCAACCCTTGGGCGCACGCTTTCTACGCACCCACCCACTCATAATGTTTGAAGTTCAAAGAGAATTACCCACAACATAATAATTTGGATATATCAACAAAGTTTAAGTGGTAAATTGGCCACCGTAACGATTACAAAAGCTGACGTTTCGAGCGTTAGCCCTTCTTCGGAGCGAATAGAAGAATTGTGGGTTGTGTGTGCTTTTAAAGTCAGAAAATGGAGCTACGTTATTGGTGGGAACATGGCAAAGAGAAAAACAAGAATAAATTAGTGGAATGAAAAGCGTTCGTTGATCCCTGTGGGATTTAGACTGCCGGTTTGAAAGATGAGCTTTTGTTCAAGATTTTCAC